TCTTTCATAATAATGTCTGGGCGATTTGCTTTCATTGCTCGATTTGTGTTGATATAAAAATCCAAGAGGAAACTAACATCTGCCTCAACAACTACAAATTTAGGATAATGTTCGTTGCAGTTTTAACCTGTCGTCATTTCGTAGGGATGACTTTGAATTAATTTAATGATTTAAGTCTTTTATTTTATTCGATGTGATTATCGGGCATTCTATGATAAGCTAATCAGCAGTTTCAATGTATTGGTCCTAGAAGATATATTTTGGCTCCGTACTATTAAGCAAGTTATAAGCTCAGTTGCGTGTAAAGAGGCTCTGTTCCTGTGCAACGAGACTAAACCATTCAATCTCCCATTTAACTCCTGAACTCCTTTGCCCCTGGATGGGTTACGAAGAATGAACTTGCTATGTAGATGCTTTTGTGACCGAGCTTTCTTTTATTTGCTTTTCGCCTGGCTTTTTCGCTTCTTTTTTCAGTTTTGCTGCTGATTTTGTGGTAGTTGTATTTACTTTGGCTCTATTTTTAAAACTGTTATGGTCCGGTCTCTTGTACCACAGTGATAGTCCAAGGTAGAACCAATAAAGAAGAACTCGAACACGGATATGGAATAACACAGATATATTACAAACAGGAATATGTACAGAGAAGTAGAAGTGTTAGTATGAACAGTCAGGTTTAGTAGAGAGAACAATGTAGTCTCGACCAGTATCACTATTCCAATGTCTTGTAGTAATTGTCTGAACGCGACTCTGTTTCGGACTGCCTCTGACTCGACTCTTGACTCGACTTGAACTACTGACTGACTCGAACGACCGACGATATTCAGTCACCCCGCCCCACGAGGGCGTCATGTGACACAAGGCCTTTTTAACGTGGGCTCGGCCAAACATATGCCCATTGAACCCGTATAAACGGGTTCAGGGTCGGTTTACCTCCCCGAAAGAGAATCCGCCCTTCGGTGTAGCCTCGTTTGAGTTCCTCCCCGCCCGAAGGCAGAGAGTTCAACCGATCTGTCGTTCAAGACTCGAACGACTGACGATATTCAGTCACCCCCGCCCACGAGGGCGTCATGTGGCACAAGGCCTTTTTAACGTGGGATCTCCGAGCCCGTGGGCTCGGCCAAAAATATGCACATTGAACCCGTATAAACGGGTTCACGGTCGGTTTACTTCCCCGAAAGAGAACCTGCCCTTCGTCTTGTCTTCATCAAAACCCAGATTATTATTTGTTATATAGATATAGTTTGAACCTGGACCGCTACTGAGTAAACACAGGCGATCCCATTATTGAATTGAGTAGACCACGTGATCATAGAGGAAACGCATAACTAGAAAGTCGTGTGACGTCTAATTTTTCTACCCTATACTATATGGATCGCTATTCTGTACTCTATTTACTATACTATTTCTCTATTCACATCACTATAAGGATTACTATTCGAGCGAGTATTATCGAGCAAGTACTATTAGTGCGAGTGATATTCGAATGTGTCTGACACCAGTATTGTTCAACGGCGTTACTATAGGTGTATCTGCGATTACAAAGTCTCTATTACAACAAGCATTACGAAAGCGACAATGAGTATTCGTTGACGTTACAAAAGTGACAACGAGTGTTCGTTGACATCACAAAATTATTATTATTTGAGTTTTCACATTTCGTAGTAGCTTCTCAATGTCGTCATCTGAATGGTTTAAAAATTTTCGCGAGTTTTTTTTTCTTTATTTCCGTCTTTTTCTGTTCAGTTCTTTTTACCTATTCCACTGCCAGAGTTTTGGGAATATTTATAAAGACAATATTCCAACGAGAATCTTTATATCCCGTTTTGGTGTCTTTCTTCTATAAGGCGTACTACCTAGATGGGTGACATCATGAGAATAACAGGTGCCCTGAGTTTGAATGTGCAAATGGTGGAATGAATAACGGCGAGCCGAGATCAAATTCCAGTCGGATTCTTTATATTAATTTACGCGTATATGCCATTGGGAAAGGTGTTGTGGTAAACCCTCCTACAGTAGAATGAACTCTTCCTCTTCTCATAAATACTAACAGCGAGACTTTCCTAGGGCAGTCTGTTCAGAAGTGGCGACTCAGTGTTAACCTACCGTTCGGACGTACACCTCTATCTGCTTATTACTAACAATCTTGCTTTGTATATATATGTTATTTCAATACACTTGTTCAACCTACCTTCGTCTTCCGTCTCTTTTTTTCTGGTCCTTAAACAGGCCACAACAAAAGATATCAATCCACCTCCCAGCTACGGGTTAATTAGTAAGACCTGTATCAGTAAAAATTTAACCATCTAAAAACATTTAGATAACCTGTAAAGGATTGATAACTCATAAAAAACAAATCAATCAATTAAAATCTGTTATGCATATTTAAATGTTTTGCCGCTCTTTTATGAAGTCTAGAGAATGGAAAGTAAAATGAAAAGACAAGTATGAATACAGAATTCATGTTCATCAGCAAAAAGGAATGATCAAGGTAGATATTCGAGATGCTGAAATCAAACTGGTACAGAAATTCAACCATCTTGGTATAGTCGTAAAATATGATAGAAATTATAAACCGGAAATCGAGGGTACATAAGTAAAGTGAATGGAGTCTTTCAAGTTCTATGATGAAGGAAACCAAAAAGAACGTGGAAATTATATGTAATATCTAATTTCCCGTGTGGCAGTGATTTGAAGACGAGAACTAAGAATACAATGGACTGGATATGTCAGCAACGAGGAAGTCTTATGGAACACAGGAACAACAGAAGAATAAGATGACATTTCTGGAACTCATAATGAGGAAAGAAGAACATGAGAATTTAAAACTCACTGAATATACTGAACGCAAGAGAATCAGGGTAAGCAAGTGACCTATTTATTGAACTTACATGAATGAATAGCCGAGGAAGAACAAAAATGGGGGCTATAGAGTGAAAAATTACAGGAAGTTATAAAGAGTCATGATCGCCTACGTTTTCGTTGGAAACTTTTAACAATAGTATAATGTAAGCCAGTGAAAAATTGGATATATATGAATCAAGAATAATTATCCACACGCCCCATCAAGCGAAATAGCGATTTTCCAAGCGTAGCTCGGATGTGGCACAAGGTCTAAATTAAGGAGCACCCAGTGAGAATCGAACTCACTCGTAATTGTTCTAGCGAGACAAGCTTGCTTAACCATTACACCACCTCGAGGTGCCCAAGCGAAATGTCACATAAGCTCAAATTCAAAGTACGTTGGGAACCCACAAGAACGTGGACTAGTGACAAAAATTTCTCAGTCCCCCTCTTCATTCCCTGTTTTAGAGACGCTAGGTAATAATCCCAACTCTCTCCTGGAGTGCTCATGCTTGTGGAGAGCACCCGTGGGGGCGGGGATTGAGCATATTAGATCAAATGAATTATTTACTAACAGTCTAGTAAGTTATCCATAAAGCAATTTCGTTATAAACGTTACTCAAACTACACCTCCCGATATTTAAAACGTTATCCTTAAAATATTTTAATAGCAGAATAATTTATGAGAGTAGGTCACATGACATTTAGTGTATTCATCACTTACTCGCCATCTTCTTTGCCCTTGATAAATCTTGTCGCTGACTTCTTGCAGATTACCATCTGTTCTGCGTCGTCTTCTTTTGGGGAATTTCATTTGTAACATCCACAAATCACTGCAAGTTATTCAAACAGCGTTTTTTTTTTTTTGTTTTTTTTTTTTTTTGGACGGCCTGCTGTAATTTTCCTCACTTTATTTCACGTTTATTTTAAGGTCTGTCCTTGTTGCTTCTTTCAAGTATATGAACTATAGTTATAATTATCTACTAAGCTTATACTATTACGGTACAAGATTACAAGTGCAGGATTATGAATGAAAACGTGTTTCACTTCATTCCTAATGATCTCTAGGACATTTCTCTTACCTGTTGTACAGAATGATGCTGAAAATAACATGGACGAAACATGTAAACAATGAAAAGTTTTCAAGGGAAATTATGTTAAGTTGTATAATATCAATAGTCTTATATGGCAAATTGTTATGTAATATCAGTACAGTTATATAGCAATGATATGGCAAATTATGTAATATCAATACTCTTATATGACAATGATATGACAATTGTTATGTAATATCAAGACTGTTATATAGCAATGATATGACAAAGTGATATGTAATATCAATACTCTTATATGGCGATGATATGGCCATTGTTATGCAATATCGATACTGTTATATGGTAATGATATGGCAATTTTTATGTAATATCAATACTATTAACTAGCAATGATATGGAAATTGTAATATCAATACTATTATATGAAAACGATATGGCAAATAGTTATGTAATAACAGTACTCTTACATGGAAACGATATGGCAATTGTTATGTAATATCAGTTTAAATAGCAATGATATGGCAAATTGTTATGTAATATCATTACTCTTATATGGAAAAGATATGGCAAAATGTTATGTACTATCGGTACACTTATATGGCAATGAATGCTCACAAAAGAGACTTTAGACAACAGACATGTGGTTCTACAGAAGGATGCTGAAAATATCATGGACGCAACATGGCAATTTAAAGAAAAATGGAAGCAAAAAGGACACTTGTACACATAATCAGAAAGAGTTGAGATATCTGGGACGCATAATTAAAGAAGGTTTGGAGAATTTCACACGCACAGAACTTATTGTCGTCAAAAAGAAGCAGAAAGTTTGAGTGATTCGATTTCTACGGTTTATCAACCCGTTGTATGTTATTTAAAGCCAGAAATTATTTTTATATTGCTAGATTTTTTTTCTTCTTTTAGATAATAATGATTTACTGATACAAGTTTCACTATTTAACCCATAGCTGGAAGAAGAGGTGGACTCATATGTTTCCCAACGCTATTTGCGCGTAAGTAAATATAACGAACCCTACAGGAATTAGAACTCGGCTCTTCGATTAACAATTCCGGTCCATTATCCATTACACCACCTGCACATCCAAGCTTACAACACCTGGTATTCCCAAAGTACTGACAAGGCTCAACATTGCTTAACTTCGGTGATCATACGAGAGCCGGTGTTTCAATGTGATGTGGTCGTAAGCCCAAGGAGGGAACGAGTAACCTACTCTTATATACTGTACCTATGAACACTAATGGGTATGTCCAATCCTCATAAATACGTTGGACACCATTGTAAGTGGGGGTAATATGTTGTCTTAGTAGTCCACCACTAGCAGTGGTTTACCTACATCACGCCGCTAGGGAGTATTTTATTTTGTTGATATTATAAAGATTACCATTTCATTCTCAAACTCCGTTGCAATATTCCTCATTCAGTAACCCTTTGCAGGTTACAACATGTCAGCAACATTTTTAAATTTGCTTTTCCTATCTATCTATGTATCTATCTATCTATTAATTATCTATGTGTTATATACCGTACCTATGAACACCAATAGGCATGTCCCAATTCTCATCAATACGCTGGACAATATTGTAAGTGGGGGTAATATGTTGTCTAAGTAGTTCACCAGTGGAAGTGGTTTACCTATTTCACGCCGCTGGCGAGTATTGTATTTTATTGATATTATAAAGATTACCATTCTATTCCCAATTTGCTTTTGGGTTATTCCTCATTCCGTAAACCTTTCTAGGTTACAACACTATGTCAGCAGGATTTTTAAATTTACTTTTTCTTAATTCCCATCTATCTATCTATATATCTATCTATCTATTATATACCGTACCTATGAACACTAATGGGTATGTCCAATCCTCATAAATACGTTGGACACCATTGTAAGTAGGGTTAATATGGTGTCTAAGTAGTCCACCACTAGCAGTGGTTTACCTACTTCACGCCGCTGGCGAGTATTGTATTTTATTGATGATTTAAAGACTACCATTTCATTTCCAACATCCGTTTTGATTATTCCTCATTCAGTAACCTTTTCTAGGTTACAACACCTACCTATTGCCCAGGCTTTCCACCCACCAGCCAATGATCTACCCCACGTTCCGATTATCGATCTCTCCCGTGTTCACTCAAAGCTCAGCGAAGAGCGGGCTGCATGCTCACAAGATATCACTCTGAAAGAAAAACGCCATCTCTAAATATGTAAATGTTTTATTTAGGGATTCGCCTACTCGTCCGGATAGATAGATATGTGATACCTGGAACAAATTCTGCTATATCAGCTCTTCCCCCTACCAACTCCTCGGCTATCTATTCACTCTGACGAGCTGATTGGCAATACGAAATGGAGGCGTCGAAAGCGCGCGACGAAAACGTCCGTCTCCGGCCAAGCGATGACCATAATTCTCTCTTTCTCATCCCAGTCCTGATTGTTTATATAGATCAGCATCTGGATATACCCTATTTCCGGTTCTTTTACCACTTGATCTCGATAAATCCCTAATCTACTCATTGACTCCTCATTTCCCTTCTGTCAAAATGAATATCGCTTAGAGGACCAAACTTCAAAAGGCGCCAATCTTGTGTTCCATCAAACAGAAACACTCGAGATAAAGCTAAAACCACCTTTTCCCCTCCTACGCGGGTGTCCAGAGTATCACATACACCCTTGTGCAATTAATTGAAACAAAACAAATAATTACATTATTTTTTTTTCGTATTTTTTCAATGAAACATGACCCAGTGCACATGTTAGTACTTCGTATGTCTATTCCACAAAGTTTTTCCTTGCAGATTGACCACGGATTCTTGATTGGATTTAAATCTGGAGAGTTTCCGGGCGAGTCTATAGTACTTTGATTTGCTCACTGGTAAGGCTTACCAATGTGTTCGTGCAGCGTTACTATTTTCGTACGCTTCCTTGGAGTAATGTCCATCGCAGACAATGGCTGTAGGACAACTAATCGACAGTGGAGACAATAGTGTCTGGGCATATAAAAATCTGATGCAATCACGGATGATGCGATATTTTTTAAAAGGTTACAAATTTCACCATATACACCCCCAAATAGATTCATATTACTGCACACCACTTCAAATGACCTAATCTGAGGAAAAGAAGAAATCGATTACATCCTGTCACTCCAGTGGGTCTAAAACTGACCGTATGATGAAGGAAAAGAAACTAAAGCGGTTATTTCAATTAATTTGGACAAGGGTGTAGGTACGGAATTTCAAGATAGCTGTAGTGGTTGTATATTTAATTTGTGACATTTTGCCTTTCACTATTGCTTTTTTCGTACAGCACATACCAACCAGAATATGTCGCCAAACCGATATTCCTTTGATCATACGGTTGACTCGAGTATAGGATAGTAATTATGAAACAATCCACTTTGTGCTATACAGTGCAAAGGTTAACAAGCTCGTCTCGTTAGATCAATTACGACTGAATAGTGAGTTTATCCTCAATGGGTGCCCTGTATTTATGCTCGGTAAATAACTATACAGCGGACAGTGGCACTTCGACGAGGTGAAATGGTTAACAAGCTTGTCTCACGAATTCCAGACGCATTGTCCTTTTATTGGTTCTGCATTTTTTTGGCTAACACATAATTTATTAAAAATTACATTTCGAACATCTTTATAGGACGAATTTCCAAGGCCTACAAGAGAGATAACAGCTCGTGGGATGCCAAACATCAGTAACTGCGTAGACCGCGATGAAGGTTGAAGTAATAGACGGCGGCAGTAAGGAGAAAGGATGAAAGCCACTTGGTCTAACCAAGGAATATAAAAGATATCAGCATAACTGGCCGTTTTTCTCTTGGGAATATCGCAAGTAAACCTAACTCAAATTCACACTGCTTGTTTTATTCATATGTGCTATAATTTCTAATATAACTTTTTTTATTCATGTGTCTTATAATTTCTAATATAAATTATATATTCTATATAAATTCTTGTATGACATATCTGTATATAAAATATTTTCGAGCACAATGTCTTTTTTACATTCATTTTTTTCAGATATTCTGGTCCCTCTTTTCCTCGTTTTAGTACATCATGGATACATTAATGACTATGATGGGGAACTGGAAACGAGATGAAACCAAGTTATTCTCTCTTTCCAAGCACCCCATTACCTTATTATATTCTTCCTTCCGTCTCGTTCTTCTCTCTTTCTGGTCTACTTTTTCCTTCTCCCTTATTTTCTTCCTCCTCATTTTCCTCTGCCTATTGCCCCACTATCATTCTCAACGTCTCTTTATCGTTATTTTCACTCCTCCTTCTCGTTCATTCTTCAAACATCTTTTTGGCTGTCATTCTCGTGTTTCGAGTTGTAAAAGGGTTTTCTTAAGCACAAAACATTCATCTGCTATACCACTGCACTTAAAACATCATGGCGTCCTATTCAGTGACGCCCCTGATATCAATAGTATGTCACAACCAACTTTTATTCAATTATTAAAGAGATTTCAGACTTGTACCAGATTAAGCTGAAGATCAGAGTCAGACTATACCTTTTTTTAAAATCAATTCACCCCAAGCAAGTCGATAATGCTACTAAGACGCAAGGGGAGGTTACTTGGAATGAAAGAAAACGAGAAGAATTTTTAGAAAGAACGGGAAACACAATAGTAAAATAAGGAGGAACGGATAAACCACTACTCCTGTTCAAAAGACCTGGGAAAAGTGTGCACCGGACAATAAGCGAATCTGTACATTCATATGGAAGTGAAATAAATAAATAATTAGTAAATAAAATTTAAGAGCTCAGACATACATGTTAAAAATATAGACTTGAAGTAGGCTTTAGAAGAAACCGGAAATTCAATTCTAAACAGGAAATAAGTGATAAACCTCTACTCCTGTTTAAAAGACCGGGGAGGTGTGTCGACCGGACGATACGCGAACCTATTTACTCCTAGTGAGAGAAAAAATAAATAAACAGTAAAATTTCATAGTTTCGTAGTATGCGTTAGAAACGTAGATTTGAAGTAGACTTTAGAAGGAAGCTGAAACCCAATCCGGAACAGAAAACAAGAAATACACTCCTACTCCTGTTCAAAAGACCAGGGAGGAATGTGAACTCTTTGAACAGGATTCGAAGTTGGGATTAGGTTTTCGGTTCATTCTAAAGTGGGCGAATAAAATTTGCCCTGACACTTTGTGTTAAGAGGATTAGCTCCAGCAAAAAAAATAGATGATATAATTTCTATTATTTACTTTCGAACTAATATCCTCATCTTTGTTGTTACCATAATGTTTCGATCAAAGATTAAATGAAGTGGTTCGAAATTCTATGAACATTACTCAGATCGACGGACATCTGAAGAAGACCTGAGGGAATAATGGTCAAAACGTTGTGATTATAGAAACATGGATGATGACATTAATCTAAAAATAAATAATTATAACTACTCATCATTCATTAAAAAATTACCTACTTCTTTAACGCTCGTGCGAACCTATGCTGACCTGCCTATTGGCTATCACAACAATAGAATTCAGCATTAAATTATCTGGAAAAGTTTTACCTGCCATAAAACAAAACCAATGCAAATTAAAGCACGTAAATAAAACACGGATGTTTTTTCATTCATTTCCGTTAAATGGTCATAAATTTCGTTCGGTTTAAATCAAAATGAAAGGCAATTATTTTATTTTCGAGATTAATTTGTTTACCTTTTGGTTATTTCTTCTATCATCTTTCTGGATCCTTTAGAATTCCATTCTCCCAGAGACTGCTTCACAAATAACCGCTTTTGGTGCCATTTGCATTGTAATCTAAAGTTGCAATATCTGGAGAAAATACCAGAGGAATATTGAAAAATAACTTTCCACCAAAAAATGTAACAATTATTGCCTGTATCTGTCAATATTTCTGAGATGATGTATTATATACACTATTTACATTATTCGGACTATTGTCCTCATTTTGTCGCCATATTTATTACAACGTTTCAGCCGTTGTACGCTCCGTCCTTCTTCAGGTGGTTGGAATGTCGAACTGAACCCTTTATTTCGCTCGCTAGAGTAGACTGTTCTAGTTCCATGTGCCATGTTTAATGGATGTCAGTTATCAGTTATCTCCTGTTAATTCCCCTCTCCAAGTTCTCCACTGCCTTAACCGGGTATTGAACTCACACTGTTTGGGCCCTGTCACTGAAGACATTAGGTT